ACCTCGGCCAGGGTTTGAACGTTAACGTGCCTCGGTGGTCGAATTGGTTGAGACGCCCGCTTAGAGTGTAGGGAGGTCCAGGTTCAAACTAGAGCTGTTACTTTTCATAACTTCGAATCTTCGAAGTTCGAAGTTAAATTCGAAGCTTTGAAGATTTCGAAATTAACTTCGAACTTCGAAGCTTCGAATATCGAAGCCTTCGAAGGAAATCGCCAGCCCTAGTTCAAACCCTGGCCGAGGTATTATTTTTCGCAATGAATTTTCTTTAATTAGAATTTGCCAGCCATGGGTCATCATGCAATTTTCTATATTGGTTAATCAACTACTGGCGTTAAATAATTCTTCACGTTGTATATAATTTTAATACTTTTTAATTTTAACAATATCTATAAATTTAATTTTAATGATCGAGACGTGTATTTTATGCAACTGATTGTGGTTGCAGGTTGTACGATAAGGAATTGGAGTATGTGGAACAATTGTTAAACGATGATGTCCATAATAATTCTGCTTGGAATCAGCGTTATTTTGTAATAAGCAATACGACAAAATTCGAGCAAGAAGTGATAGACAAGGAAGTTGATTTTGCGTTGGCGAAGATCGAGTTAGAGAAAGGGAATGAGAGCGCTTGGAACTACCTAAGAGGGTATTTAGTCTTGCTACGTCAGAGAACTAGAGTTGAGAGAGAACCGATATCCCCTTCGACTTGATTATTATTTAGGAATTGTGTTTTGCAGAATATTGTTAAATCATAGCAAAGGCTTAGGTTACAATGAAAAAGTAAGGCATAAATGCGAAGAAATGTATAAGGGAGGATGTCGCACTAATCATTTATTGGCCTGTATGATCGACATTTGCCAAGAGAGATGTCAATCTGACGAATCCCCTTCGTCTTTGTATGATATTAATTTTGCGCACGAGGTAAGTTTGGTTTTTTTTAAATATTATGCATTTTATAACATGCAATTTGTCATTACTGATACACGTATTTAATTTTTAGCTGTGTAAACTTTTATCGACAAAATTTGATACGATAAGATGGCGGTATTGGGACTACATAGCTAGCCAGCTAGCGGTAAAATTGAAACCAGATTACTCTTCAGATTAACAGCTACAACAACCTTGTAGTGTGAATTGTTAAAAAAAATTTAGATAATCTTTTACGTATCAATCTTACGATTGATGTGCTTTGGCCTCTTGCCTACAAATATGTATGTTGCATAATTGTCAACTTGATCAATTTGTACAATTCCTTTGTGTAGAACAAGAGAAATTGCAGAATTTATGATTTAAAAATATATGACTTATATAATACAATTTGTTAATTAAATTCCGGAATTATGTCAAGCGAAATATATAGAGTTCAGCTAAAATTATTATCTATTACGCCAATATTGTTAGTTTAGATAAAACTGTCTCCATCATGTATTTTTTCATGATTTTGCTGTATAATAATATTAGATAACTGGTATAAAGTCCAGTTACCAATCACTACATATGGATAAACTATAAAAGATTAGGCTAAAGCTAATGCGTCAAAATAAGTAATAATAATTGGTAACCATAAGTATATCTTTTATGAAAAACAAATTAATAAATTGTATGAAATATATTGCACTAAAATATTTGTTGTAATTTAATTGTAATATAAACGTATATAAATAATTACGATACAATTTAAAATTACTATATTTATATATCTTTTGTGCATTAACTTGTGTAAAATTTTAACCCTGGATGAACATTTTGGTGGGAAATAACTGAGAGAAGTAATGAAAAATAAAATTTTTCATTCTCTTGGTCTCGTACAACAATGTACAACTATTTCACTTTTATTCCCTGCCGATCACGATGTATGAACACTACGAGTAAATTTAAATAACAGCAGTGAATTAAAAAGTCACTATTTTAATTGTTACAACTGTTCCATCTTCTATCTTTTGTTTTCAATATTTTAATATTTGTAAAGAATTGTGATATGTATATAATAAAATAAACTTTGATATATTAGTTGTAATATTGACTAAATAATATTGTTAATTGACATAATTAATAATAAATAATATTACATATCTTCGTGGTATTTTCAATTTTCCCAAAAATTCTTTGTATAAAGTGTGTGCACACGAGTACATTCTCCAATGCGCACTAAATTACTCAACAAATAAATAAATAGAACTCTATGTAATTGTAAGATCCAGGATTAAACTTGCTCTACTCTGTTTAAATTTATCCATTGTAAGGTATGTATGGAATACTCAATACTTTTCTTGAATATCCTTATATCATGAACAAATGAACGCATAATAAGATGCGTACGTATATTTAATAAAATTACCATAGACCCGTTAGTATAACCAAATGCATGCATCACTCACCGGTCCGACGCGCAACAGCGGAGTTACAGCTGCAACGTCGCTACGATGATTCTGTAATGCAGATACATAAAAATTATTGAAACAGTTGAAAGAAACACAGTTTGAAAAATGCAGTTCTTACGCGCGATTTAAATTTCACTTTTAATTGGATATTCAAATAATTATTTGGAGAAAGCTTTGACAAAATCTCAAATTACTTCTTTCTCTCTAATTGTTATTTCTCAATTGTGGTGTAATAGATATTTACATTTGAATAATTATTTGGAGAAAAATTACAGGAACAAGCTTTGACAAAATCTCGAATTACTTCTTTCTCTCTAATTATTATTTCTATATTACGGCGTAATAATGTGATTCGACAATAAATGGCGAAGGAGAGTGCTTTTGCGTAAAATGAAAAATATTCACCGCAAGGTTGCTCCGCCGGCGCTTGATGCCCATCCTCGGGCCTCCTCCTCCTCTCAGTCCTCTCGGATTGTCGGCTGATTTCCCTCGAAGCAACACTAACACTCACACTCAGTACGTCGCACTCGGTCCTCTCTCCCTCATTTTTCCCCAGTCCGAAATAACTCGTCGATCGACCCTCCCTTCGAGAAGAATCGGCGGCATATTAGGCTCGCTTTCCGTTCCTGCACTGGCTAACCAGTGCAGTAAGCTAGAATGAGAACAAATGTACTCGCCCTGCACTAATTTATCGCGCTAGTTCACCAGTGAAGCGACGGAAAACGAGCCTATTGTCACACGGTATACGGCGTTCAGGACGCGACGCGAGACACACGCGAAAAAACTGCCACGTTCAAATCTGCAGATACGACGCGGCGAGCAACCGTCACCCGCGAGCGGCGCAACGAAAGCTATTCACGATTCCTTCGTCTCGACGGCTGCCCCTTGAATAAATCGCGCGACACGTTCGTTCCACCGCGTATGTACGTCGCACTCGGAGAGAAATCGGTACAGCGTCACGGAACTCGCGAAAAAACTGCCACGTTCAAATCCAGATATTGCGCGGCGAACAACCGTCACCGCGCGAGCGGCGCAACGAAAGCTATTCACGATTTCCTTCGTCTCGACGGCTCCCCCTTGAATAAATCGCGCGACACGTTCGTTCCACCGCGTATGTACGTCGTACTCGGAGAGAAATCGGTACAGCGTCACGGAACTCGCGAGACAAACGCCACGTTCAAATCCAGACATGGCGGAGCGAACGATTGTCACCCCCGTAATTCCCGTACCTTCGTCCCGACGGCTCCGCCTCCAACGGATCGCGCGGCACATCCATTCCTTCCTCTCGCACTCGGTTAATGTCTCCCGATCCCGTAATCGACGCAGCCACTACACATCCGTTTCGACGAACTCGGCACACTCGCGGATCGTTGCGCGCGTACGTACCCGACGATTCCCGCAGAAAGAGGAGCGCAGTGATGCCAATCGCTGAGACGACGACGCGGGAAGGCGGGAAACGGCGCGGTGCGACGCGCGGAGAAGCTCGCGGAAGCCTCCTGTCGGCTCGAGATTCGTCGGGCGACTGACCGCCCGGTCACTTCGGCAGGTACGTCGAACGCCGAGCGAAAAAACAACGGCCGTTATCGCGCGACAACCGGCGCGGAAGGTGATAGACGTTGCTTTCGGGTCTCGAGAATAAGTTCCTAGCGAGACGCCGGCCGAGAGACGTCGAAAGCGATTGGCTGACACGCGGGGACTCGGAGAGAACGGCGTTCGTCGGCTCGCACGGCAGCGCGGATGCTTCCTGTCGACTCGAAATCCTTCGAGAGAATGACTGATGCGTCACCTTGGCACGTACGTTGGAATGCCGAAGAAAAAACAGTAGCGTGATCGCGGGTTGATCGACTCGGAAGGCAAGAAACACGTTTACGAGTCTCAAGGGCGGTCGACTGCGCGGCTTGCGCCGGCGAGCGCGATTGGCTGGATCCGGGGGGCTCGTCCCCGCTCGGAGCCAATCGCGCGCGGCGGCTCATCGTGCGGCGGTCGGCGGCTCGGCGGCTCGGCGTCGAGCGGCGCGCAGAAGTGATCGCGACTCGGTCGTGTCGGTGCGTTACTTCGTCGATCGCGTCGATTCCTTTCTCGCGAGTGAAAATAGACTCGATCACAGTGAAATTTGCAAGTCCAACGTACGTCGAACGTTCTCGTTCCTTCTCGCGGCGACCGGCAATGTGCGGGATGCCGTCGTTGAACGAAATAAATGTCGGAACTGATCGCGACGCGTTCGTTGTCGGTGCGTGGCTTCGTCGATCGCGTCGATTCCTTTCTCGCGAATGAAAATAGACTCGATCACAGTGAAATTTGCAAGTTCAACGTACGTCGAACGTTCTCGTTCCTTCTCGCGGCGACCGGCAATGTGCGGGATGCCGTCGCTGAACGAAATAAA